GGGGGGGGGGGGGGCAGCAACTTGACCAAGTTTTGAGAAGTGTTTTTTCAGGGCTATCTGAGGCCATTCTGTCTGTGACTGAGAATCCAGGGTTAATCGCTTTAAAAGCAGTAATTAGGTGTTAAGATGCATGCTTGTCTGTTTAAATTAGCTTCCAAATCAGATTACGCTCTGTGACTTCCGTTCACCTCTCTTATCAGAACTCAGTGCTCCTCAGAAGACCATTTTTATTATTTAAAGGACTCCATTTAAACCGATATCAAAGTGAAATCTTAGTAAACAGATTTTTTTTTAAAATAAAAGATTCCTTAAAATGCTGGATAATGATTTACTGTAAAACAGTAAATTGAACAAAGGCATCCCCCAATAAAACAAATACACATAAAGCTTATCTGTTAAATCTAAAGTTACACACACAAAACAACAATAACTGAGATTTTTACAACCAGATAAAAAAAAAATCAAACCACAATCTATTTGTCAGCAAGATTTTATCAAATCAGGGAAGTTTAGAAAACTGCACACCCATTTAGGTAAAAGGTGTTAATAACAGAACATTTTATCACCATAAGCAGAAACAATAAAAACCACACAGTTAGGACAATAAACTTATGGTTTTGTTGATATTTGTCAATGAGATATTATCTGAAAATATGGCTCTACATCTTTCTATTATCAAGTTACGATAAAATCTAAATTCATATACAAATTTGTTTATTTACACCTAAACATTTATGAGTGTCTCTAAACATCTGGAGCTAAAACAATCAAGCAAAAGAAAAAAATAATAAAACATTGCATGCATTGTTTCAAGTTTCTTGAGGCTAAAAATAGTTTGATCAAAAATGAACACGTCTGAGCGTTGCACATTAGTGACAGTTCTTACATCTTTGGTATTTTGTGTCCCTTTCAGTCTTGCATGAAACCAAAAACAGGTTGTAAACATTCACGTTAGTTAATTTGTTCTTATTCATCTATGATTTTACATGTGCTGCCAGGTTTTATCCATCGACTGAATGTGCTCTTTAGCCTTCATCCTGAGTGCTGCAATGCTGGAACTCCTGTCATCCTCCATGGGATATTTATCACTGAAACTGGGAGGACACTGATAGGGTGGTGGACCCATGGGCTGCATACTTTGGACCATTCCAGGTGCGCTGTTAAGGAAGCTATGGCTTGAATAGGTAGGCTGCAGGGCCTGCGGTGAGCCCATGAAGCCTGGGATGCTGTGCATGGGCGTGGCACTTGAAATGGGCGAGCTCAGCCAAGGATCTAGTGGCATCGGGTTGGCCATCGGCCCAACTTTAGGAGGCATTGGGGGGCGATTGAATGACAGCATGGGGGAGTCATGGAGCTTCATGGTGTTGGTGTCCATCTTTTCTTGACGTCTCCACTTGGCTCTCCGATTCTGGAACCACACCTGGACAGAGCACAAATGGCACAACTGATTAATCACACTTGTTGACTCTTAAAGGTCATAATCATTATCAAGTTATTTATAAAGTATACTAACGTTCTTCCACAATTTCATTACAACAGATAATGCAGCTCAAGGTACATCTATCAGAAAACTTTGTGGCAGGTGGGTATAAACTAAAAAAACAAATGTTTAAGCCAAAAAAAATACATTTCCAGAGTATACTATAAAGATCAGGTCTAGTTGGACGTTAAATGCAGATATTTGTCCACGGCAACAGAAGATTTGTTAGCAAAAACCACAGTCAACTTTCCAGGACAACAATTTCATTCCATCAGTGTGAAAATGGTTAACAACGAAAAAGGTTAAATTGTGTCATCTGGACCAGTTTCTTTAAGTAAAAACGTTTTGTCCCCCCATCCAGAGGACTTGCTCAGTTGACGGCCTGCCAACCAAAGGTAGCACATATTGGGCTTACAACCTGTTGTTTGGAGTTGTTTCACTTCATCAATAACTTGACTGATTGATTCAATCAAAAACTTTTCTGCACCAAATGGTTGATTATATTGTGAGATTAATTGTCTGAAAGTTGATGCTGAATTGGAGGTGGATCTTTAATTTAGTCCTCAAGCACAAAAACAAATCCACCAAATATTAATTTCAATAAACAAAATAAAGCCCAATGGAATAAAAAAAGGGTTAAAAATTATGTGATTTAGAGTGTTTGCTACAGCACACAACTCTGGTTATTATTAAACAAATTAATTGTTTATAGCTAGGAGTGCCAATAAGGTGGGTAGGCTTTAGAGGGATGGGGGGCAGTCATGCTAGGCCTCCACTAGAATATCTGGGCATAGAGTGGTAAATATACAAACTGTCTGTTGGCAGACTGGGTCGATCCACTTTTAAAAGGTGCTTTTTATATGACTGAGTTTGTGGCAGGCCTCAGACTGATCAAGTCTTTCGGATGAAAGACGCAAC